AGAAAACCAAGGGATATTGAATGCCTCTTTCATCCTAGTTTGGACCTCTTCAGTAGTGCACTCCCACCAACCCATCAGAGATTGAATCTTGAAAGTTATAGTTGTAAGGTGAAAACGCTATTGTCTAGTTACTCGGGTGGAAACCACTAGTTCGTGAATTCTTGCTTCTACTGATTAGCGACAAATATCTCCACTGCCAGCTAATGTCATCAGTCACTTTTGTGTCATCACTGTCATCTTGGTGGACTCCACTCGACGCAACCTCTGAATAAAAGTCAAGGAGGTCTATCCTGTGGTCAGTTATCGCTGAACAGTGAGTTGATTCTCAAGTGTTAGTCTGTATAGTGACGATTAATTTCAGGTTTGATTTCATCGTGAGTCAACATCTCTTCTCAGAGAATGACTGAAAACCAGGAATCCCTAGAGAGTGGTTTCGTCCTATTTTAGGAATCGTCGGCAGTAGGCATCTGTGAGGTGAGAATGGATTGAAACCATGACTCTGTTGGATTTCCGCGTGCACCCTGTAGTATGTTCTTCAGTTTTCTTTCATTAGGGGAATGTGGACTAGAGGATGTTGGATATTTTGTTCGTATAGGAAGTGTCGTTATTTGTGAAATCATAGGTGGAGATGAAATTTGATATATTGTTTAAGGAATTCAGCTGTTGTCATTTCGTTGTCATGGAAACAGTTGTGAAGAGAAAAGCTGTACTCAACTTGATTATTTCCTACTCAGTGTATTTTTCCATCATGTCAAGCGTAATCACTCTGAGTGAATGGGAACTACGTACGAGTACACTTTGTCAGTGAAATGGTTACTGGGACTCTGGGTAGGATGGAAGGTGCACTCCTTCAAATACTGAAACCTCAGAAGTAGATTTGGTCTATGAAACATTCTATTAATTGTGACAAGTATTATCTTTTCAGAAAATAATTTTTCTTGAAACTGGAGCTGAAGATGTTATTCAGGAAGACATTGAATGCTTTCTCAATAAACTACCGAGGTCAAAGAGCACAAGGAGATCAATCCTAGTCATTGAATACAAATATATATTCCCCTATTCTTCAGATAAGAAAGATCAATACCCAAGTACTAGATCCTGTTGCAAATGACTTAACATACTCAGAAAATTAAAGACAACTATGACGAATGCCTCTCAAGAAAAACAAACAGATATAAGATGAAAGGAACTATGAAAATCACATGTGATAAATGCAAAAAACAGTTTCACAGACTTTCGAAATGTTGATTATCACCAGTGAATTGTTAAAAACGCATTTCACTTGTTGAGCATATAATCTAATATCCATGCTTATTCTTAAGTCTCTAATTAACAAGCAATTAAGTAGTTAAATTTCAATTGCACACTCAACAATGAATCCATTTGAAAAAAACACAACAATCAATAAACAGATTAAAACAAAGGGATACTAAAAATATTCAACATTGAATAAAGTAAAAACAAAACTGAAAATACATCTACGTATATGCATACTTGATGAAACCATGGTTGATGAAAATAGCGATAGTTTTTTTTTATAGTGGCAAATGAAACAATACCATCGATATTCTCAGTCTAATCGATACCTTCTAATTTATTTTTAACTGGAATGCAAAATCAATATTAAAGGCTGAATAGCTTTTATTTGAAATTACACCTAGTAACGGTTTCCTACTGTTGAACAAAATATGGGTTATAAAGAATCTTTTCTGATCTTCAGTTGAACATCATCACTTATCCCTTGCTTAGTGGAGGTTATCACTGGAACCTAAGACTTACATTTCGTCCTATTTGGGACTTGTTAGTTGAATGTACCTACATTCCTACTGGATAGTGGTGTTCCCACAGAGACTCGAACACGGCACCCATCATTTATTGACATCACTTTAAGAAGCCAGTGATAATAAAGAAATACAGAATATTTCATACATTTATTCCCCTTAATGAATTTGAACAAAGCAAGAACTACAGTTTTAGCAGAATAAAATGGTACCATCATTGTTTATTTCGTTGCCTTCTCATCAGCTGCTTACAGGGCAAAGACATTATTAAATGTATCTACAAAAACAATTTTAACATACTTGCACAGAGTTCATTTTAAACAAAAATCAATCGATCAATATACGCATACACTAATAATATATACATATATATGCAATATTAAACACTATTCCGAACAACAATAATAATCATACACAATGGAAACTTTTCAGCATTTCGCATTCGGATGAAAGAGAGATGAAAAATATCCAGTTACCACGGCAAAGAAAGACTGATAACCGCTTCTTTCTGGACGCATAAATCAGGTTTCAGGCGCTTGATGTAAATGGCTTCAGCAAACTTAAGGAGAATTGAGCTCTTTTGTCTATTGATAATTTTGAACGACTTTTCGACGTCCACCTCATGACCCGTATCGAGGAGATGCCTGGCGATGGCACTGTTTAAAGCATTTTTTCCCCACTGGAGACGTAAGCTTTTTGGTACATGTTCAGAAAATCGTAGATATGCCCTTCTTTCTGTTCTTCCAATGTAACTGCTCCCGCAGATACATTTAAATTTGTATATAGTTCTTGCTTTGTTCAAATACAGAATAACAAATGAATCTTACCTTATGGCATTTTAGCCCCATTTTAAAGTAGCAGTACACTGCCACCAATATCAAATGTCAACAGTGAGTAACTACCCCAAATACTAGAATAGAAGGGTTAACCAACCAGTAACAACACACCCTGTAACCTTATGAATCTGATCCTAATCTCTGAAGAAAGAATTCGAACATTCAAACTGATGAAGAACCCTAAGAATGAAAGGACCAAAAAAAGAACAGCTGTTCAATGTTCATTGGTCTTCAGCAATTCGCTGTCAGATATCAAATGAAAATAAAGTGAACCAGAGGAATTCACTACCCAACGTTGGAAGAAAAGCACTGACGAGGAAATACTTCGTCAACCGATTAAAGATGCAAAGACGTAAAAAAAGGTAATATTTCATTTCAAACCACTACATGAAAAAGTGGATAACCATAGCAAAAATGTACTATGAGGAAGAATACAACAGTCCGAAATTCCCTCCTACGAAATTATACCTTCTTTTACATTTTCACCTTCAAATCTCATCTTTGTATGAACACTGGTTCCTTCTACTTTCCCTATCTAACTTACTTAGTGACCGTAAATTATGAAAGTGTAATTAAACTTGAAAAACCAAATCAAATTCCCACCGAATAGTCACTGGCTACAGGACAAAGATTCCTCTGGTTCTAGTGAGAAGTTGTAACCAGCGGGGTCCATCCGGTTGGAAGTGAGGACAGATATATTCACCGATGATGACGTTGGCTGGTAGTTCCGCTAAAATCATGGATCGATAGAAGCTAGAATTTATGGGTCACTGACTTGGGTCCTAGTTGTTGAATGGTCTACGAGCTTCCCTTGCAACCAAAAGGTTCTGTGTTCGAACCTAATTGGATAGATACTGTCGATGAGTCACGAAATAGGTGGAAACAGCTGTCCAGTAAGTACTCCCTGTTGGCTTTTAATGGTTCTCTAACCTGTATCAATCTGTGGCCAAACTTGAAACTAATCAAATCCCCACAAACTAACTGCGGGGGAGGGGGGGAATTAAAATCAAATCATAACTCCTTAGATGCCTTATAAATAATGGTGTTAATGTGGTGAGTGATGACTATAGGAGAGATGAAAAACAAGGCTACTACAGGATTCGAATTTGACGCCTTCAGTTTACGAATATGGCGCTATAATAGTTGAGCTGACGAATCCAACTGCTAATCAGGTCATCTGTTCACCAAAATAGTAATGTCCAGCTGCCATGTGAACCAATTAATTACATCACATATTCAGTCAGGTCTTCTCTCGCACTGAATTAGAAAGATTGGAGCAGACTGTTAATCGATGACGAGACTATATGAGATAACTTTGGGTTGGTAGACTGTTGTTAATATAATGGCTGATGATGACTGGCGGTGGAAATCTAGGCCACTCAAGGATTCGAACGAGCGACCTCCGAAATGCTAGTATAACGTATTCAAGCTATGTATTACGTCGAACAGAGCAACAGCAGCCGTTTGCTCTGAATCATTTTCCTGGGATCAAGTCTCACTGGATTACGTACAGACTTATCTGAAATCCATGAGTAGAATTAAAATTAAGAACAACTTGGAAGGAGTCTTCAGTAGTGCTCACCTGTGACCCTCAACAAAGATCGAACCTAGAACTTTCAGATTACAACACGAGCTTATGACTATTCCTCCAGTACCTGCGGAATGCAGGTACATCCAGGTGACGAGTCCCAAATAGGACGAAATGTGCATCCTTGACTCCACAGCTAGTCACTATTCACCAATTAAATTCTAATTAAATACCCAGACATCGTCGAAGCAACTGCACAGGCAGCCGACATGTCAACCTGAGACCGAGCACTTCGGTCCAATCAATCGACGGGAAAATCTAAAACTGATTTAAATAATTAATATGACCCGTTGCACAAGAGACAGTGGCTCTCGTGGCCCAAGTGATCTAGTGGATAACGCTTTGGCATTTGAAACTATGGGCAGTGGGTTCGAGCCTCAATGGGAACATCATCACTGACTCACTGTGGAATGCAGCAGGTACATCCAGTTAGCTGACGACTTCCAAATAGGACGAAATGAGCGTTGTTACAATCCACCAATTAACTTCTAACCACAACTTCCCCTTCATTCGTGATTCACAGCGCCACCGACAGTCGGTGTCGACCTGGTGGACCCTACTGGTCACAAATTCTCATTAGAACTCCAGGTAACTTCATCCTTCACAGTCAGTTTACTAGTGTACATTAGAGATTAATTTTCAGGGGTTGGTTTTTGAGTAGATTTAATTAGTTTCGAGCTTGAAAAAAAAATACACAGAACAGAAAAGAACAAAATCAAATAAACAGTATTTTGTTTAAAAGATAGATTTTGATGATTAAAAACAAATCATTTGTTTATTTATACATAACTACTGTTGTTAACAAAGAATCATACAAACTGATGACGAGAAAAGAAAAAAAGATGGAGAATTCAATTGTAACACTTATTGTTTATATTATCATGCATGTTATTTATTACATATAGTCAGTGGGTAGTGCTGAAGTGTTTTGGTATGTTATCTAGGCCTGTGTTGATAGATAGATAGATAGGTAGGTAAGTAGGTAAGTAGGTAGGTAGGTAGGTAAGTAGGTAGATAGGTAGGCGAGTAATTAGGTAAGTTTATCCAACTGCTGTTTTGATATACATATATTAAACTAACCAGTAACGATTATGCTTTTATCGACTGACTTAAACATGATGAGGTGATAACTTAGATGACCCGTGGACTTGAGGAAATCCTAAACAAAACAAAAGAAAACAACGAAAAATATAAAATAGGCATTCGAATAGTAATAATAATAATCATATTTGTGAAATGCGAAACATATTATGCTCAAAATTGATGATAGTGATATAGAAATCAAGTCTGGAGTTAAGTATCTTGGATAAATTCTTTCTTCTGACCTACCCTGGTCTTCCCATGTCTTAGCGATTTCTAAAAACATATTTCGTCTGACTTTTTACACTAAGAAGTTAAGTCACTCAGGTATAACACAACCACTCCTCCTGTTACAGTTTGTCAACTCGTGTATTTTACCTATTCTTCTTTACTGTTCACCATTATTCTTTCCTGGATTGCTTAAAAAAGACTATGCCATACTTCATAGAACTCTGAAGACTGTCAGTCAGTAGGGCAAGTGGTATCCCATTGGGCCATATCGTTGACATTGTCACTGATAGGCATTTGATGTCATGCAACAAATTTGCTAAAGGATTTCTGTCAGACTGTGAGCACCCACTCTACCCGAAGCTCCAACCTTGTGTCTCCTCAGGTAAAACAAGAAGTCTTTTCAGAAGACTTTATGCACGTACGTCTAAGTATAAAAATTCCACTATACCATATTTGGCACGTATTTTATGTGATGAAAATAGTGTTAGGCATGAACTAACTAACCTTCTAAATAAACCATTTCCCTCACCCTTAAAGCATCAAACTTTATTGTTATTATACTTCTTATATTTATAATCCTCTCAATTTTTTCGTTTTGTTTATTTTTTTTTCATATGTGTGAACATCATTTAAACTGTGTTAATTTTGTATTTCCCATCACTATACTATATCAACAGAACATTAGATCCAATTATCTATAACATGCTAAAATTTCCAAACTGAATCGACAATACTGTTTGAAACAAACTCACTGTTATTATTATTATCATTGTTATTATTATATTTAATACTCTCAATTCGTGTTTCGAATATTTTTGACTTTATATCGTAAACATGGACAAATTCCTCTGGTTAATTTTGTTTTAATTTTAAATTTTATTTATATTTTAACTAAATCAGATGCAATATTGTGACAAATGCTGAGAATTCTATTCTGTATTATAAGTACTGTTTTTGGAATAAAGTAGATTATTATTATTATTATTAAATGACTCGAGAAATCTTAACATTAACCATCTCAATTTAAACAAATAGTACATATTTACGAATATTAAAATACAATACACTTTTCGTTCTATTCTAACATTGTACACTTAAAAAAATAAACAACTACTTAGATCATTCTAAAATTAGAAATTAAGTAACTATATGGTAAGATTTTTAAAAAATGTTATTCAAAGTTCAATGAGTTAATTAAAACAAAATGGAAGAGGCAGAGAAGAAAGATACAAAATTCAACGTTACATGGTTCTATACATTGAGTTTTTTTTAAGTCAGAATTAGGTGAAATACTCTTATTTATGTACTTTTTGAGTATATTAGAATAAAATACAGGTTTATAAGAAGACAGTTCAATGTCAAAAGTGGTAATAGGGTGAGTAATATGTACTTAAGTACATAATACGTAAAAACAAACTACAAAGTCCACTCTGATACTTAATTAAACAGATATCTGTAAATCTGTACGTTGTTTTTTTTTGTTATTATTAGCCGGATTTCTAGTTACTGTAAGAGGTAATACAACTTAGCTTGTTTAAAGTGCTTTTTGGAATTCTGTTGGTACAAAGATCCTGTCACTGGTTGTGGACCACTGCACGGATGGATCTATTTTAACCAACCATTCTCTCATTGTCACAGTAAAAACGCAACGTAGTTGACTTGCTGGCCAGCCGGTCGGTCAGCTAAGGGAAATAAATTATTGCTGTTACATCCCTCTGCGTCAGAAGTACGACATTGCCTTCAGACCCCATATAGCGTCAGCAAATGGCACTATGATGGTAAAACGGCTTCTAGTTTAACAGCTTTCGAAATGATCTGTAAAAACCTTCAGCCAGTGCGACTCTTCTGGTCGCTGAGATATGCAAGCACGACTACCACATCAGGATAGCAGCTACCGATCTCACTTTGTCATTATGATTCTTTGAGTAATCGTGAAACGTTTAGACGACTAAAACCTTAAGTTCAGAGAGGTTAATTTAAAGCTTGAAAGAGTAACAGTGGTAAAAAAAGAAAATAATGATAATAATGAAAACTTACCTATTTCTGTTATTAATAAGTGATCAATAGCTAAGGATGAGAATAAACTGTAAATATTGAATCTTGAATGAAGTAGAAATTCTTTGGCGCAAACACGCATTACTGATTTTGGAGGTAGTCTGCAAAAATAAGAAAAAACAGCAGGAAACGATAGAAAATATTAAAACAAAATTTGTATTATCAAGTTCTTAATGTTCTGTCAAATCCAGTCAGGATTTTGAAAACAGAAGAGACGTTCATAACACTAGAATCAATGTGAACATCTATAGCACTTAGTATTAAGAACACAATCTGCATTTCTAAAATTTATGTCAAGTCAGTGTACTAAGTCACGTCACCCTGGAGAGAATAAAAGATGCACTGGATACAGAATTCCGCTAGACCACAACAAGCTGGATTCAGGAAAGGTAAATCATGTGCATATCAAATCACAACTCTATTCACCGTCATCACAGAACCGAACAGAGAATAGAATGGCAGTCAAACGTCTATCTACCTCAGCTCCACTGATTTCGAAAAGGCCTTCGACATACAGCGTTAGCCGAGAAGTAATTTGGAAACTACTTCAACATTAAGGTGTGAAGTGACCAAGTCTTTATCAACTTCATTCAACAACTGGCTGTATAACAATGCCACGTATCAGGTGATCCACAGCAGTGAATTCAGCCAGGCGTTTGAAGTGAAGTAATACAAGGCTTTGCAATTAATAGTGTTCTCTGAGCTGGTTGGTTTAGTCGCGAAGCTTTCGTCGTCCTTCCGGACAACATCTTCAGCGCCATATTTAGCACAAAGTGAAATGATTTAAATTTCTTCATGAGTGATATAATTGCGTCTCCTGGTAACCAGCTTTACATATGTATTGACCATTTTCTATTGACTTGGATTTGAAACTTTCTCGTCGCCTGATTTACTTTTTATTAGTTGGTATATTTCGTCTATATTAACGTGTTTGTTAATTGCATTTTCGCTTGTGTACCAGGCTTCTAGGAATTCTCTGGCACTTTTGGTGTTTCCTCTGTCGAAGATTTTGACATTATCCCAATCAAATTGATGACCATAATTGTCTATATGCATTGATATGAAAGAATACATATCGTGTCTTTTCACGGCTGATTTATGTTCTTGGATTCTGATTCGAAGGGGACGTCCATTTTGGCCGATGTAATGCTTGTAGCAGTTCATACAATTTATTTTGTAAATGGTATTAATTTTATCCCCTTTTTCTGTTGGATCTTTTGATTTGCATAATATCGAATTAAGCGATTTTACTGGTTTGTGTGCTATATCTACATCTTACGGTTTCAGTATTCTAGCTGTTATTTCAGAGATATTTCTCATGTGTGGTAGGATGAATTTTCTTGTGGTGTTTGATGATGGTTCCTTGTTGGTGTTGTGATTCGATTTCAAACACTTTTTGATGAAATTTTGTGGATAACCATTCTTTTTGAAGACCGTTTGTAGGTACTTTTCTCCCATTCTTTTCAACTCTGGAGTGCTACAATGTGTCTGAACTCTTTTAAACAATGTATGCACAGTTTCTTTTGTGAGTAACTGGATTATTGCTAGTATAGTTGAGTATTTGATCTGTGTGCGTCGATTTTCTATATACTTGTGTCTCTAAATCTCCTGTGTTGGTTCTGCTGATTAAGACATCTAAAAATGGGATTTTGTTATCTAATTCTTCTTCTCTTGTGAATTTGATGTCTTCAAATATGTTGTTTATTAATTTATGGGTATATTCTAAATCACTTCTCTTAATTATTACAAATGTATCATCAATGTAACGTATCCAGATTTTCGGTTTAATTATAGGTAGAGCTATTAATTCTAATCTTTGGATAACGGCTTCAGCTATTAGTCCTGATATGGGTGATCCCATTGGTGTTCCTCTTATTTGTTCATATATTCGAGTATTGAACTGGAAGTATGTTGTAAGGCATAATGTTATGGGTTCTATACAGGTTGATAATTGCGTTATTGTGTTTTCATCACTATAGAGTAATGGTTGCATAGTTTCTGTTGCTAGTTTTGGACTAATTGAAGTATATAATGCTGTGACATCAAAGGACACCATTATTTCATTCTCATCCCTTTTGAATGTTTTTGATTTTCTCTAAAAATTGGATTGACTAATTGATAGAATGGTGGCATGATTCTGTTAGGTAATTTAATTTCCTGAAAAGTTCTTTAGATAGATTATATGTTGGTGTTCCTGGAAGCGAAACGATTGGTCGTAAGGGAATATTTGGTTTGTGTAGTTTCGGTCTACCGTAGAATCGAGGTAAAATAGGTCCGTTAGATTTCATTCGCCATTATCACCGGTGATATTCCTAATTATGGTGGATTAGATTGTGCGTCAGACTGTGTGTTGGGAGTGAGAAGACAGGAATAGGTTGAACCGATAAGAATACTCTAGAAGATTGGGACTTCGTGGGCGATTTATGTCTAAAACCACGTTAATTCGAAGACTTACAGGCGAAACCAACGTGTTGGCAGAAAGGGTTCGCAGTGAAGACAGAACTCCAAGTAAACATAGAGAAGACGATTGTGATGAAGATAACCAACAATCAACACCAATCACCACCAACGAGGAGGATTTGACAGAGGTTACTCCTTTAAATTATCAGGCTAGGAAGCACAGTTTCAACCACAGGCAGTCAGACAGCACAGATGAAGATGTCAAAGTCAGCCAGCCAGAATCGGAAAGACAAGCAAGATACACCTTCATCAATCTGAAACCAGTTTGGAAATCTTCTTCCCTCGCTCAGTCAGCATGTTCTTCACAGTCCTCTCTACTTGGCCCGAAGATTATCACATAGTCTCTATCCCCACCCTCAGATGCGCTCATCTCGTTGTTTCCCATTCTACTTTCACTCGAGCGATAGCATGGCGCGAGGTATCACCCAACGGTCTTCTCAGAGTGTGTCCAACCCATTTCCATTTTCTTTGGCATATTTCTTGAGCACTGCATCAGTGGCACAGTGGTTAGGACTCTCGCCGACCATGCACATGGTTCCGGGTTCGATCCCCTGCCGGCGCACACCCGATATCTATGGTCGGCCTGTAAATTTGGGCTACCGATATCCATGCTGAAAATTCCATACCTGTACTGAAAATACGGTGTGGAATCAAGCTGTAAATCAAAATAAAATAAATAATATGTTCCTGGTTGATTTACTCCCAGAGTTTCTTGTGACTAGTTCTTTCTGACCATTATATACTCTTACCAAACAAGCATTTTCTATGAGAAATTTTACTAACTCAACAAATAATGGAAATACGCCACAACTCTTCGAATATATATATATACATACATATACTGATGTTAAGTGGTTAGAGGCAATCTCCAGGAATTCCTGGACCTAGGTTTCGAGATTATTGTCATTCGTCAGCAAGGCGTATCTGCAAACTTGAAGAAACAAAACTCGCGTCACCCAATACTAACTGACTGGTTCCAACAGAAAACTTTGCACTGATGTGCAGCAGTTCAAGTCGCCACACTCCATGTAGGACACGGTGCAAGAGAAAAGAGTAAAAAGAGATTCAGAACAGAGATATGAGGCAAAAAAGAATAGTAATATGGAAGAACAATATAGTTTTATTGGATATTATGAGTCACAAAGAGTGAATGCATCTGTGCCAGCCATTGAGAACAATTTTGAGCCGTATCACCAATTGTCTCCAGCCTTCATCACTTTTTACCATCCCGAGGACCCCAACCAGGAAGTCTACACCTCCCTTTATGTGGCTGGCTTAAACTAACTGTTGTGGATTTCATTGACTGATGCAGCCACTAAAAGCTCTTTTCCAACCTCATCCTATGTCAGCTAGTTAACATTACCTGTTGTCAAGGTAGGCGATGGCTTGGCTAGGCATGCGTGACACATATCCTAACCATGTCAATCAATCTAATTTCACAACCTCATAGTCAGAGACGTTCCCGCTAAAGTAACTCTCACTCATTCCAAAGTGCACCACATTGTAAACTTAACTGACAAGATTTAGTTAGCATCAACAATGAGGACTAGACATGACAAATGACACCCTGGTGACTAATCGATATATATATATATATAGTATTTATTCCATGTAATAACGAGTAGGCGGGGATATTAAAGTAATATCAACTAATCAGAGTAGCTTTGAAAAATATGTTTAATAAAAACACAAAAAATAAAAATGCCAATATGTGAAACTACCAAATAGATTTTAATTGGTGGATGGTGACTAGCAGTGGAATCCAGGATGCACGTTTCGTCTTGTTTGGGACTCGTCAACTGTACGTACCAAGTAGATTTATATCTTTTCTTATTTAATCGTACTTATGTTTAATCTACCAATTCGACTGCTCCTGTGGAGCCAGTTACATAGGCTGTACAATTAGGCGTGTTTCTCGTCGGATTTCCGAACAAACAAAATCCATTCATAGCGCTATTCTATCTCACCTTGGGGATACAGAACACAAGATTGATGTCAAAGTCATTTACCGCATAGCAACTAGTCTTAATTTCACCTTAAGAGTTCGTCTACTAAATATTGCTGAGGCCCTTGGGATCCATATTAAGAAGCCTAACTTACGTGTCGAAAAGAAGCTAGTTCAGACACTGTCCTTGCCTCAACCATCTAGATTCTAATGATCCCCAACTTTTTGTAGAAATTTCCTCAGTTTTAGTTGATACTCTATTCGCTATTATATTTTTATTATTATTATAATTTATGCACCTTTAATGAATTGTAATTCCATTGATCTTACTTAACAAATCGATGTTATTTAAAAAACACTAATATTGTTATTGACTACTATTCTAGAATATTCTGTGTATATAAACGTATATAAATATAATTGTAGAGCCAGCAAAGGAAATTATCGAAAAGGATATTCTTTGCTCAATCTTTTGTGTTTTTTCTAAATTGAAAGTTATTTCAGTTCATTTAGTATAGAATACAACTCATTTTATACATGAATTTATACGTAATTTATAATGAGGTACATGCAATGTAAGTGCATAGTCATTCCAGCGGTAGAATGCTCTCCAACAACCCACGGGATCCGGAGTCCAATCCCCATCCAACTCACTCCTAAACCTCGCTTGGTCAGTAGTAAGCCTTGTAAAGATGG